TATTCTGACAAGTCCCTGTACACCCAGCTGTGCTTTTACCGGTACATTTTTGATGCGGACTGTGCACTGGAGAAACTTATTACCGATCATGAGAAAGGTACGTTAAAATACTGTAATTACCTTTGAGTTTAAAGTGGAAATTTGCATCATAAAAGCCAGACCTACTGTCAGGCTGTTCACGCAGCATCACACCACTGTCTCAGAAGCAGGCCGTGGGGGCCCTTGTGAGCACAGGCTTCCCCTGCATGAGGGGCGGCGGTGTAGGAATCCCCAGCTTTGGTCCCCACTGCCTGTCTCACATTGTTCTCTATTAAAGCAGGGCTTTGGGGGAGGAACAGTACAAAAAGGACTCTTTAAATGCTATATTTTGAAAATGCTATTTTCTATAGAGTTTAGTAATTGTAATAAAGTAAGCATAGGCAACGTGATCATTGGACCTACAAAAACCAGACATTACCACAGAAAAATAGACCTTGAGTGTGTCTCTGCTGTTCTCTAAAAGCCTAGGTTCGTTGTGAAAGAGAGGCATGGGGTGGAGTTCTTTTATTAACTCCATCCTAAGAGAGTGTATCTGCACCTTTGCCCAGATGATTGGGTGCTGCCTGTAACCCTCACGCAGGACTCGCCAGCACGGTGGAGTTTAATGGGTCTGGGAAAAGCTTTGTTACATAACAAAGTATTTGAAAATGTCACGACAAGTGCACGTTTTTTTTTTTCTCCTACCTGAAAATCACATTGACAACTTCTCTGTGACCTGTAAAAAAAAATTAAAAAGGAAAATTTACGCATTTTTCTTATTCGTTACCTGCAGGGTGTTTATGTTGTTTGTCAGCGAATATTGATTCAGCATTTTGTTGGTCAGTATTAAGGCTGGAAGTAGCCTTAAGTATATCAAGAAACCTCAAAACACTGCTGGATTTCCTCCTGTAAGAATCTCCATGCTGCCCTTGACTTGGTCTTAACTGATTTCAGTTCTGGTCATAATTGACCAGTTTTTTCCATTTACAAGATAGGCTAAAAATTATTTTTTAAAGGTCTTGACTTGTCCTTGGATATAAAACAGTTTACTGACTGATGGAGGAGTTGGTTCAAATATTAGTTTCATGGTTTTGGATATTCACCAAGAACTTGGGCTACATACAGCATATTTTCAGTGAATTAGTAAAATTTATGTAATGTGAAGGAAAAATTTCTTCTTTTCATTAATAACTGAGGGGTTTTTTTTTGAACTTCTGTTCATGGCTCGTGTCTGGCCCATGTTTACTTGCAGTATCATTAATAGTTTTTTCTCTTTTAGCCTGAAGGGCATTTCCTTAAAGGCATGAGTTGAGAGAATTGTGTACAGATTCTCTTATGAGTACATTATTTCTGTCTGTTTTGTTACCTCTTTATGGGAATCAGTATATTAGTTAGAAGTTGTTCACCCTTTACTTTTTTCTAAATCTAGTCATTTCAGATTGTTCGCTAGATATCTTAGACAGCTAGAGGATGGACTTCTCTTCCAAACATCTCCAAAATTTTTAGCTGAGGCAGCTGAATCAGTCTTTGATCAGCCGTTTTCAAAAAGTCCATTGAGATTTGGAGACACTGTGGAGTGATCTGGAAAGTCACTGGAGACTTACTCCGGCCTTTTACAGGAGTGCACATTGCTCTCCCAGCACATAAGAGGGAATAGAATAGCTACTTAGAAGCTTCTTAACTTGGCAAAAAGGGGAGAAGTCTTGACAGTATCTATACCCTCACACAATTTACTATAGTTCTCTTTCACAAGTTTAAGAGCTGGAATGCTTTTTTTGTCATTTGCTTCTAATAAGTACACTATCTAGGAGTTCAGGGTCATAATGGCACTATGTGTGAGTTACTGACAGGTTCTTGTACATGTCAGAAGGCTAAAGAAAATAAACTAAAAGAAAGATATTAAATGTATGTGTCACTGAAGGAACTTCATGAAATGTTCCAAGAACCTTTCATTTTATTTAGGGAATTTTAATTATGAAACTGTTTTCCCTTTTAGCTTCCTTCTTATTTATTATTCATAAGTTGCACTTTAGGAATGAGTGGATTAGTTGAAATTTACCTGCTCAGGGTGTTTACAGATCACTCAGTAACGTTAAGAGGTATTAGGGTACTTGTTAGGAGGGGGATATAAACTGAAACTCTGGGTCGCGCCTATCTGTATTCCAAGATCAGAGGTTTACTTCCAAGTGACATTTGATAAGTTCCCCTTTAAGAGTCAACTGGGGTGGGGCGCCTGGGTGGCTCAGTTGGTTAAGTCTGACTCTTGATTTCTGCTCAGGTCATGATCTCAGGGTCATGAGTTTGAGCTCCGCTATAGGCTCAGTCTGCTTGAGATTCTCTCTCTCCTGCTCCCTCTCCCTCTGCCCATCCCCGGCCTCAGAAAAAAAAAAAATTGAAAATCTGTTGGAACTGGAGGACAAATATATTTATTCAGTTTGGACCAAGGCCAGAACACCAGTAGATGTTACATCGGGAGTCTTGTGAAGAGCAACGACCATTACACACAGTTACATTATTGGCAATGGAGTCTAAGTGTTGTTTGTCACCAAGTGCCCTGGATTTGGCATGTGAAGTATTTACTAAAGTAAATACTTCAGTATTTACTGTGTACTCTTCTTTACTGTCTGTAAACAATAACAGCGTAACAATGTAAACAAACAACAGTTCCCTAAGATTGTTTTACCATTTCCCTTTGTAAAGCCCGTGTTTTAAAGGTTGTAACTGGATGGTGGCTTTAATTTTTGTTTGACACTTGGCCATTTGACGGCCATTTGACTTGGAAAAGTCACAAATTATTTGAAAGAAGTTTATTTTTATGGTAAAAAGTAGCTCTTGTCAGAGCTTTTTCCTGTGCTTTGCTTTCAAACGAAAGTTTACGGGCCATTAGTCCATAATGTGAATTAACCCCATTTGGTATTTTTCCTTACCTTTAAAATGCTAAAGGACTGTTATTCACTTTGATGAAGTATTTACTGCATATTCACTGTAACTACATAACATTTTAAAAATCTTATTTCTGTAAGACTTTGGCTTTATTATTGTAACTGCTCCAGAATGTTACACAGATGGCATAATAGTTCCAAAGGCAGTTTTAGAGAAACCTAGTGGCAATGTGTGAAGTAAAAATCCATTTCCACAATGGCATCACAAAATGGTCCCATTTGACTGCCTCATCCCATGGGGCCTTGGCCAGAGTAGGGATAAGTGAACAGTTTGGGGGAGACATGAATCCGTTCAAATCTTGTCCCAGTTGTCTAAATTAAGTCTGCAGGAGCAGAGTCTCTTGGTTTTCTCACCTGAACTTTTAAATTTGTTTTTTCAGCAATGGTAAAAACAGTACATACATATTTTCAATTATGTGTTGAGTGCCATCCCAGATGTTAGAGGAACTAAGATGGCCAAGGTTCCCTGCTCTGGAGGAGCTTACAGTCTATCAGAGACGGCCTGGGCAGCAAGGTGTGATAAACCACCAATCTGGTCAGATTGTTATGGAAGCAAAGAAGGGGAGCCACTAACCAAGGCTCCCTTTGTTTTTAGTAGACTATTTTTCAGAGCAGTTTTAGGTTCACAGCAAAATTGAATGGAAGGTACAGAGATTTCCTGTGTACCCCCTGCTCCCAGCTTCCCTCATTGTCAACACCCCCCACCAGAGTGGCACATTTATTACAGTTGATGAAGCTACGTTGATACAGCGTTATCATGTACAGTCTGCAGTTTACCTTAGGGTTCACTCTTGCTGTTGGACATCTGTTAGACAAATCCATAATGACATGTATCCACCATTGTAGTATCATAGTGTATTTTCACTGCCCTAAATTCCTTTGTGCTCACCCCACTTATCCCTCCTTCCCCACTAACCCCTGCCAGTCACTGATCTTTTTACTGTCTTTAGAGTTTTCCCTTTTCCCGAATGTCATATATTTGGAATCCTGTGGAATGTAGCCTTTCCAGGTGGGCTTCTTCCACTTAGTAAGATGCATTTGAAGTATCTTCTGTGTCTTTTCCTGACTTTTTAATGCTGAATAATAGTCCATTATTTGGATGTACCATATTTTTTAAGTTTTATTTTTAAGATTTATTTATTTGAGAGAGAGAGAACACAAGGGCAGGGAGGGGCAGAGGGAGGAGGAGAAAGAGAATCCCAAGCAGATCCCAAGCAGGCACCATGCCCAGTGAGGAGGCTGACAACGGGTCTCACAACCTGAGATCTCACAACCCTGAGATCATGTCCTGAGCCAAAATCAAGAGTTGGACACTTAACTGACTGAGCCACCCAGGTGCCCTGGTATCTCCTTGTTTTAAGTTGCGTTTCCCTGATGATGTACGAAGTGGAGCATCTTTTCATATGTTTATTTGCCATTTGTGTATCTTTGGTGAGGTGTCTCTGGCTCATTTTAAAATTTTTTTTAATTTAATTTAAATTTTTTTAAAAGATTTTATTTATTCATTTGACAGACAGAGATCACAAGTAGGCAGAGAGGCAGGCAGAGAGAGAGGAAGGGAAGTAGGCTCCCTGCCGAGCAGAGAGCCCAATGCGGGCCTCGATCCCAGGACCCTGAGACCATTACCTGAGCTGAAGGTAGAGGCTTTAACCCACTGAGCCACTCAGGTGCCCTGGCTCATTTTTTTAAATTGGGTTTGTTTTTTATTGTTTATAGTGTTTTAAGAATTCTTTGTAGGGATGCCTGGGTGGCTCAGGATCAAGCCCTGCAACAGGTCTCCTTGCTCAGCAGGGAGCCTGGTTCTCCCTCTGCCTGCTGCTCCCCCTGCTTGTGCTCTCATATATATGTATACACAGATATATTATGTATATATGTGTATTTCAGTGCCTCTGGGTACACTCCATGCTGGTCATGGAGCCTGCTTAAGATTCTCTCTCTCCCCCTACTCCTCCCCTGCCTTAAAAAAAGAGAGTTCTTTGTATGTTTCAGATAATGGTCCTTTATCAGATATGTCTTTTGCAAATATTTGCCCTCGGTCTATGGCTTTTCTTTTTATTCTCCTGAGCACAAATTGCCTTTTAACTTTAGTGTTTGATTTTACCATATTCCTATGGTAGCAAAGAAGGGGAGCCACTAA